TTAGTTCCCTGGTCGCGTCAAGTGTTTGTCAGTAGTGGTTCCTGAGGATATGTGGAAAAATGGAAAAATTGTCTTAAAATTGGACATGGATTTTTGATTATCTAACAACTGAACCCACCTTCTCTGAATAGACAGCAGACATATGACCTGCTCTACCTCTCTGGGGCCAGGGAAGCACCGCAACAAACTCGGCATCAACTTATTTTCAAATATTTATCTTGACAGAAAGTTATACAGAAACCACAGGTGAGATATTTCAGTTTTTTAAATCAGCGAACACGGAGTAAGAATGAAACACTGAATAACATTTTATCAGCTTAAAGCCCTACAGTATAACATATTGGTTTTTTTGTAAATGTATTATTTTGTGTCATTACATAATACACAGGACTTATGGCTGACTGAGCCTCAAATTGTCTGGATCTTTGCAAAAAATTGAAAAAGAAGATGCAATGTTGTGTATCTAAATTTGAACTTAAACATTGATTTTGTATAGTCTAAAACTGATTTTCAGTTCTGCAAGCTGATGTTCTCCCTTACAGATCTATTCGCCGGGATTTGACAGCTAATTTAATTACTTTATAAATGTCACCATTGATTTTAGGAAAAAGCTGGAAGCATTAATGGAAAATAGAAACTCTGAACACAGCCAAGGCAATATGTCTAAGATGTAATTGCATTTTAGATATAAAATGCATCTTTACAAAGATTTTGCTGAACCTGAAGTGGTTACGTTGCAGCTGGCAACAAGAAAACTGAAAGTTCCAGGGAGCAGTAAGAGACAGTAATGATGTTTTCGTATTAATGCCAGTTGGCAGATAATGAAAACACCATGCAGATCCCCTCTTCACACCAAGCAATACCATAGTTGTTAATGGAGCAGTGGAGTGAAGAAGAGAGTGAATACAGTCACAGCTGGAATCAGCCCAAGCAGCAGATTCAGCTGTTGAAAAGAGAGGAGACTTTGCCTGAACTGCTCAGGGTACAGTAGTCACCTGAGTGGGGCATAACCAGAGTTATATAGTGTTCCAGTTCTTCAGTTTATCAGGACCAGTTCAAATGAGGTCTCAAAATCAGGGGAATAGAACCCACTTTCCCACTATGAAGAAGGAGCTAATCTGCACCAAAAAAACATTAATGTTGTTAGTAATTGGTGAGTTCTCACTGAGAGGCACTGAAGCACCCATTTGCCACCTGGACAACCACTCTAGAGCGATGAGCTTCACTTCTCTCAGAGAAGTTCCTGGAGCAGATCCTCCTTGAAGATGTGCTAAGGCACATAAAAGATAAGGACATGTTTTGAGGCAGCCAGCATGGCTTTACTGAGGACAGATTGTGTTTGACCAATCCAGTGGGCTTCTGTGATGGAGTGACTGCAACAGTCAACAAGCAAAGACCAACCAATGTCCTCTGCCTAGACTTCTCCAAGCCCTTTGACACAGTGCCACACAACACCCTTGCCTCCAAATTGGAGAAAAACTGGACAAGTTGTTTTAAAATTGGACATGGATTTTTGATTTGTGAGGAACTGGCTGATGGACACAGCCAGAGAGCTGTAACCAGTGTCCAGGTGGAGCTGGTCACAAGTGGTGTCCCTCAGGGCTCTGTCTTGGGACCAGTGCTCTTCAACACCTTCATCAGTGACACAGACAGGGAGATCAAGTGAAGCCTCAGCAAGTCTGGAGATGACATGAAGATCTTATAGCAGCCTTCCAATACCTTAAGGGGACTTATAGAAAAAAGGGAGAGCTACTTTTTATGCAGACTGATAGTGATAGATCAAGGGGGGAAGAACTTTAGAATAGATTTAAATTAGATATTCTAAGAAATTCTTTACTCAGAGCATAGTGATGCACCACAGCAGGTTGCCCAGGGAAGCTGTGGGTGCCCCATCCCTGAAAGTGTCCAAGGCCACATTGAATGGGGCTTTGAACAACCTGGTCTACTGGAATTTGTCCCTACCCAGGGCAGGAAACATCAGGAGATGGAACTTAGATCATCTTCAAGTCTCTTCCAACTCAAGCCGTTCTCTGATTCTATGAAATCATCCTTGGACCAGGACTTAGAGGCTACTAAAATTGTCCCATCATCAAGAAAAGAGCACTCCCTGTTTGTCATTTTGCTTGGTGCTTCCTTTGCAGAAAACAAACACAGCAAACCAGTTCTGGTGTTGCACAAATGCTCAAGGGGAAAAAAAAAAAGAATATATTGTCCAGTGTTAACTGTAAATTTTAAGCCAATAGCTGCTGTAAGACTATGTTGTTCTTAGGCACTCACTAATTAAATTTCCCGGTATTTACTGTCTTTATAAGTTTGTCTTCCTAGATTACACTTGGCTGTTCTTAAAAACTGGGCCACATTGTAGAACAAGGAAAAGGAACACAATTAAAAGCAATTATCTGATTTACTTTTGCACACTGAGCTGATGTGTATTCTAGAAGACATATTTCAATTGCTCCAAATCTTTGAAACAGCAGCTACTTGCAAAGCAGAACAAAGTACTGAGTTTTAGGGAGTGTAGTATTTGAACAGCTGTGGACAGTGCAGTGCAGAACTAAAAAACACATTGCTTTCCTTTAGGAATGTGTTTGACATCATAAGCTTGTAAACGGCAGAAATTTCAGTTGGCACATAAAATTCCTCTCATTCATAAAATTGTTCACCTTCAAAAATCAAAAAAGGAAGTATGAAACATGCCAACAACAAAAATCTCTTCTCTGGTGGTGTTGTTTTCTAGCGAAAGATAATAGTTTAAAACATAATTGCCAGTAAAACAGTGGTTGCATAGAAAAGCAATAAAATTAGACCTAATTCAAAACAAGGTGTCTTTTGACATACAGATTTTTTACTGTGGTGGATGACACTAATAAAATTATATTTAAAATCATGTGATGAGTATGGTGTTTTTACTGTAAAGGACATAGAAGTAGAACTCAAAGGCAGTTATGCTGAAATTAGGAAATCAGTAATAGCTGGCACTACCCATTGGACATCTCAGGTGTAATCAGCCTGGAGAAGACACGACTTGTTGCAGCTACCCAACATAAATTGGCTTATGAGAAAGAGGGAGAAAGGTTTTTTTTACCTGACTTTGTAGTGACAGGGCAAAGGGTAACAGTTTGAAACTGAGAGGGGGTAGAATTAGGTTTAGATTGGGTCTGAGGAAGAAATTCTTTACAAGAAGACTGGTGAGTTGTGGATGCCCCATCATGGGAACTGTGCGTTGTCAGCTCAGACTGGGCTTTGAAAAACCTGACCCAGTAAAAGATGTCCCTGCCTGTGACAGAGGGATTGGGGTAGATGATCTTTGAATGACTCTTCCAACTGAAACAGATCTGTTATTCCATGAAAATTAGATTCACAGATGCCCAAAGTCAAGCTGGAGAGCATCGGCTGGATCCCCTGTGTACCACTGGCCTTGCATTTTACGTGACTTAATTGTTACAGGAATTTTTTTAAGAGAAGTGCTAACCTGAACTTAAAGGTTGCTAGTGGCTGAGAATTTATGAGTCTTTTATAAGTTGTCTCATGGTTACTTTTACTGAAAAACAGAGCTTCTGTTTCTGGTTCAGATGTGTGAGTTCAAGTTTTTGCCTTCTGCCTCACGTTTGCTGCTGCATTAAAAAATCCTGGTTTTAAACTGTGAATTTGCATTGAAAAATATTGAATAAACGGACTTGTGAGCAACACTGCCCAACCAAATTAAAAATGCATGGGTTTTATTTATGCTATTTGTTTTTCCCTGACTGTCCCCCAGTTTATCTGCACCAGTCTTACCTGTGGACAGCAAAAATCTCTCGAGTAAGATTAGCTGCAATGCTAAAAAGTACTTATACAATGTCTCTATTCAAGTACTTTCTGTCTAAATATCCAACAATTCTGATACTAGAATTTGCACTAGCACTTTTGGTTTTTAACTATGTTTGCATCCCTAGTTTTTTGTAAAGTTGCAGCTCCCATAAGGTCCATGTCAGTTCTATAAGCACAGAGCTTGTGATTTCCATTCCTACAATTTTCAGTGGATATTAGACTATGAGAGAACTCTAGAAATAGAATTTCAAGCAATGTCAAAACAGATGTCTTACAGAAGTTTATTACACCAGCATCAATATTTAACCAACCAAATGTATAATTTCAATAAAAGAAATTTGGTAGGGTAGTTTCACATGGCCTGATTTCTCTAAGCCCACTTTGGTTGCCACTGTTTTATCCTCTTTCTTTATCTAATAATAATTTAAAGCATAGTCTTTTATTATTCTAAGATCAATGTCATTTTTTCTTGGAGTTTTTTAACTTTCCCTTAAATCAAACCTTGTTTAAGATCTGCTTGAGTGGGTTTCATTTAGATAGTAATATAACTGCAGAAGTTTGCAACTGGGATAAAAAACACACCTATTCTCTTCTTTTAAAATATTGAATGCTAGAATGTGAAAAAGAAAACATCAAAAGCAGTATGTTTTTCTTCTACATGGAAGTCTGAGGAGCATATCCTTCATTGCTTTGTTTTTTTAAATACGACTGACTTGAGTGGCATTCTACTACATAAAGTTGAAAATACTCCATCTATAACAAAAAAAACTAAGATGCAAATATCATCTCACTTAACTGCACTCATAAGTTTAGAACCAATTAAATTATTTAATTTGAGTCTATTAGGGTCTAAATTCTCAAAATCTCAATATTTTTAGATTAAAAAGTATTGATTTATTAAACAAAAAGTACATGTAAAACTAGGTTTCTGAAGGCCTACACTATATACACTTAGATAATTATATATAAACAGATTATTAAACAGTAAGCAACATAACTTTTTAACAGCAAACTTATTCTTACAAAACTTGGAAAATGCCAATAAATGTCCACAAAATCCTGTAATCTGAAACTGTTAATAGAAGACCTTTATCATCATTCTACTCATAGCATTAGCTCATACAGCTTAGTGCTTAAAATCTTATTTAATACGCTAGTATATTATAAGACTGCTTAGCACAGAAGTTTCAATTACATTGGTACTTGAATTTGCAAACAGGTAAAATCTTATAATATGCTGGGGAAAAAAAAAAACAGTAAAACTGCTACAACTTTCTACATAAAAACTTGTTGAAACTTTAAAAAGTGAACTTTTTAAAAAAGAAGGACAATTTTATTGCAGAACAGAAAGTAAATGCCAATAACTATGGGTGTGTTCTTGCTTTGAATATTGTAAATAGCAAAATGTGTTATTTGGTCTTAAAAAAAACAACAGATCACATTCATTTCCTAAATTAGTCTATCCCCTTTTATAAAATCAAATCTCTTTATAAGATCATGTTTTATGTTCCAGTGTTTCAACTGCAACACAGAATGTCTCCATCTTTCATCTGTGCCTGTTTGTATTTTATCATAATGAATATTTACTTTCAGCAGGTCTATATGCAAATTAGTGGCTGCTGCTGTTGAACTTGAAAATAAATATGTTGACTTAAAATGTGAAACAGCATCTTGTGAAGGCTCTACTGCCCCTTGTTTTTATCTGTAGTTAGTGGGAACAACTACAGGAATAAATAAATAATTCCTTATGATTTTGATGTGATTCTGGCCATTTATATTTTCCAGTGTTTACTATTCAGGTGGATAAAAAAAGAGTTATTCAGATATCCACTAGTGATTTAGAGGTTTTTGATGTTCAGAGCTGAAGGCTGAGCAATACTTTCGTAGTGTAGGAAGGAGTAGACTCTGTGAAAAGAGAAAAAAGAAATACATCTCAGATTTTAGCTATGTAATCCAGCACAAATAAATGAAACCCTTAGCTAGAAACAGCAGGGCTTGATTTTATTTCAAAGATCTACAAATGATCTCTGTGACTTCACTTTAGAAATACAGAGCACAAACACCAAAGTGCTCAGATTATGGACATTAAGGAACAAAAGTCCAGCATCAGAACATGAAAACTATTCTGAAGCCACATCCCGTGGCCTTTCTTCATGTTTCTCTTTTACCAGGTCTCACAGGACCTCACTGTACAGATCACTGAAATGATATGCAAGGAATGAAAAGATACCAAAAGATTCATTCCACAAAAAGTCATTTCTACATACAAACTCTCAAAGGGATTAAAACAGAGCCTAGAGGGTACTCTGGCTCACAGGAAACTCCCTTTGTTTCCTCACATTTTACTAAAGACTCAAGAGATTGACAGTTTCTTAATGATGGCAAATATAAGACAAAGTGGCAAAATAAATTAACATGCAAAGCTTCTGGTGCTACGTAATAAAGACAGAAGCAGAGATTTTACTATGAATGTACAGTGGTTAAAGAGTTAGTAGTACCCTGATACAGATAATATTGTTAAAGAATGTTCTACCAATACAAAGAGCCTTTCATATATATATTGTGCCTCTTTTTGAGGAGAAGAAGCCCTTCTTCAGGAATTCAAAATCACTAATGTTAATCCCAAGTGAGGTAATTGAATCTGGAGAATGAGAATAATCTTTGTATACATTATTAATGAATTAATGCATGGACAAACACACAATTAACTTTGTATACATTAGTTCAATATCAAGTGTCCCAGTCAGAGCCCAAACTTTTCACAAAGCCCATTTGGCATTTTCACTTATTGGTCTTATTCTATACCATAACAGACGACTGTAGTTTAAGGATATATTGCTTGGTCTCTCAAAAATAAATGTTCCCACCATATGTCTGCATTTATCTCCAAGGCAGCAGGAAGCTTATTGCAGGTTAATACATACCCCTTTCCTTCAGGTCTTCAATGTATGCCTTCATAAACTCTTTCTCAACTTGCTCACGTTCACGTTCCGTTTCTATGATTTCTTCAGTGTCTTCACATACAATGGTTTCAACTGGACTGTTCTTGAGACTCACGAATCTAGACAGAGATCAGCACAAGAATATAGGCTACAGGCTGCTGAACATCACTGGCCAACATAAATGACATTGTAGGAATTGCTACTGGAACCAGAAAGAGAAGTGCAAAGAACATCAGCTCAAATTTGCATCACGGCATTGTTAGGATACGTCTATTGTTGGAAACTCAGATTTCACATGGCACCTTCTCTATGCTCCACTTTCCATATAAAAATGATTGGATTTATCTCTTCCTGTCTATCTTCATAAATCATTCTCTGTAATAACAGGTATGTTTCTTTATTATGGAACTTCTGACAGACTACACTGTAATTTCACATCTGTTGATAAGCAATACAAACTCCATCCCAACAACATTGCCTAGCAATCTGGAATTTTGCCACTATCACTCAGGCAACAATACCTACTTCCGTCTTTTGGTTGTTATCTCTTTTCCAATGCACGCCTGAACTTGCATTATATTGTATTTGCAGGTTTCCTAAAGCTACATTTTGCTGGTGAAAAACTAGGTGGTTACACAAAGAACTTGTGTAATGTCCAAATTCAGTGCGCAGCATCCTGAAAATCTCTGATTTTCGTTCCAAGAAAGGAAAAAAGTCAACAAAATTGTTACTTTCAGAAGAACAAATGTTTCACCAAATCATGCGGCTTTCTAAAATCTCATGCATTGCTGTGAGTTTGTGATCAGTGGACTTTGGCTGCCCAGGTGTCCATCCAGCTCTCTCTCTCCTTCTCCCCAGCAAGACAAGGGGAGAATCATAGAATCATAGAATCACAGAATCAGCTGGGTTAGAAGGGACCTCCAAGATCATCAAGTCCAACCCTTGATCCAACCCCGCTGTGGTTCCCAGCCCATGGCACTGATGCCACATCCAGTCTCACCTTAAAAACCTCCAGGGACGGAGAATCCACCTCTTCCCTGGGCAGCCCATTCCAATGGCTGATCACCCTCTCTGCAAAGAAATTCTTTCTAATCTCCAACCTAAACCTCCCCTGGCACAGCTGAAGACCCTGAGCCCTCTTGTCTTGCTGAGAGTTGCCTGGGAAAAGAGACCAACCCCCCCCCAGCTCCCCCCTCCTGTCAGGGAGTTGCAGAGAGTGAGGAGGTCTCCCCTGAGCCTCCTCTTCTCCAGGCTGAACAGCCCCAGCTCCCTCAGCCTCTCCTCACAGCACTTGTGCTCCAGTCCCTTCCCCAGCCTCGTTGCTCTCCTCTGGACCTGCTCCAGCCCCTCAATGTCCTTCCTGAGCTGAGGGCCCAGAGCTGGACACAGCACTCCAGGGGTGGCCTCACCAGTGCTGAGTCCAGGGCAAGAATCCCTTCCCTGGACCTGTTGGCCACACTGTTCCTGAGCCAGGCCAGGATCCATTGGCCTTCTTGGCCACCTGGGCACACTCTGGCTCATGTTCAGCTTCCTGTCAATCCAGGAATAGCAGATTAAAAAGTTGTAGGTTGAGACAGCTTAAAGAGAACCTCATACCTACGCACAGAAGCAAAGCAAAGCAAAGTAAAAACCTAATTCTCTCTTCTAAACAAGTGGTCTAGCCACTTCCTGGGAAGCAGAGACTCAATACATGTAGCTGGTTTCCTTGGAAGAGAAAAATCTTAATAAAGGATGGCCAACCTTCCTTCTTCTTTCTCTTGGCTTTATATGCTGAAGGTGACACCACATGGATCAGCTCCAGCAGTGTCCCCTCCCAAGCTCTTGTTCAGCCTCAACCTACGGTGCTTTGTAGGGGTGGATTGGAGAGACAGCCCTGCTGCTGTGCCAGCATTTCTCAGCAGTAGCTAAAACCACCTTTCTAGCTACCAATGCAAAGAACAGCACTATGAGGGCAGCTGTGAGGAAAGTTAAATCTATCCGAGCCAGACCCAGTATAGGGGCTGAAACGGTTCCATAATCAAAGACCTGAACATTGCTTGCAGAAATGCATGACCACCACACCTGCAGACCACCACACTGAAAGGCCTCTTGGTCTTACCCTGCATGCAGAAATAAGGTGACATTTCACAGCAGAGAACTACTAAAATCACGTGACCTTATTTAACCTTTTACCAGCCACGTCTCCCTCTCCCAGAAAGATGCTTTTGGCAGCACTGAGCTTATCAGCAACTGACTGGTCCTCCTCTGAGACAGCTGCTATGACTCCATCTACCCAGGAACAGCAGTTTAAGCAGATGTGGAAATCAGAAAGATGCATATATATATATATATATAATTTCCAATTTTTGTAGTGCCCCCTTTACCACTCGTTGGCTCAGAACTGATGCCCACCAAAGAATTTCTCTTGGGTTCATGTACCCTATCTTCTTAAGGACATTTTCCCTTTCTCTCTTACTTACTTTAGGCCTGTGGTAGACTCACAGATGGCTGTGGGTACCTCAACCAGGTCATCACCACTGACAACCAGCAACCTGAGCTTTGGCATGTTGACGAGAGCTCGTGGGAGATAAGTCAGCTTGTTTTTCTGCAAGAGGAGTGTCTCCAATTGATCTAACCTGCAAAGACATAAAAAGATAAAGATGGCTTAAAATACTTATTTCAGACAGGAACATCTGTCCAAAACAGCAATACTGACTTAATCTTGTGTATAATGGGATCAATTACGTGCAACGTCTTTGGCTTCTCAAAAAATCACTCAAACCTCACTCTCAACAGATTTTCATCAGCTTTAATAATGGAAATCTGCAGTCATGGTTCAACATTATAGGTATTAATAGCACACCTCTGAAAAGTAATCAAAAGCATGTTCAAGACAAAAGGTTACAAAATTTACGGTGCTTTCATGCAGAAGGCGTTGACAGAATATGATATAAAGCCTCATCATGTGCACCCTGGAACTAATGAAAAATAAAGGTCATCAGCTCACAGCTTTGACCATTCCATGAACTATGGATGCCTGTACCAGGCAGTAAGTCCCCATTTATTGTTTTTCACCAGTAATTAGTACTGTGGGGAGCAAGAGAAAGATTAGCTCCTAATCATAAGACTCTTGCAAGATGTCCCACCAAAATCAATTCAAAGACAGGGTTTCATGGAGGAATTTTTGCTTTATTTCCCCTGGCTTGTCCTAATGCAATAGAAATTTGGGGCTCTGTATTTATTCCTTGGAGAAGGCAGAAGACCAGAAGCACAGCAAATCGCTGAGAAAGTTTGTCTTCTTTTGACTGCAAGGGTCCATTCCTAAAACACTGCTGTAGGATATTGTTTATCTGGTCCACATGGTCTATTTGAATTTAGGGGAAGATATTAAGTAAGGTGTTACAGTTATTAATCACATTGTTATTAATCATATTACTTTTGTGGTAGTTCACTGAGATTCCTTGACACTACAGGCATTCAATTCATGAGCCTGAATAAGAGCATCAGTTCACTGGGGCAGGGGGCATATCCTGGCATTCTGTAGTCTTCAGAATGCAAATGAGCCCAAGGAATCTCAAAAATCAAAACCCAAGGAAAACCTTATTTTTTGGTGTCTGTTTATGGTATTTTAGTATCAAGTCTGGCAGCTCAGGGGAAAAATGCTCCTTAGATTGAGTGGGTATCCTTCTGTAAAAGAAAAATACCCTCTTAGAAGCATCTTGAATTTAATTAAATCCCTGGTCAGTCCCCATGGAAAACAATGGCAGGTTTATTTTATTTGTAGCATGTCAATTACTAACACAAATTAAGGCTTCAGTCCTGCTGTCAGAATAATCTGTGATTACACAATGCCCCAGAAAAGCCTTTTTGCCCAGCAACAAAAGCCTTGAGAAAGTTAAGACTGAATGAGTTTTCTGTGAAGTTTCTTCTGCCTCAGGGATTTCTATTCCCAGATCAGCAAATAACCCAGAGTATTTTTTTTTAATAAATTTTAGTTAATAACTTTTTTTTGTTTACTTTTGGCTGTGTAAAGTTTTGTAAACCAAGTCACCACAGGACTCCAGAGTGAATAAATAGGCCCAGGAATAAAAGAGCTTTCTCAGGCTAACAAGTCCCATTGAAACAGATCAGTGTGGTTTTGTTTAAAACTAGATCTGGTGGGCACCTAAACTGGAAGAGTGAGTGTATGTGTGCACATGCACATGTACTTCAGAGTAGAAGGGGAGGATTTTCAGTGGTTTTTTTTAATATTATCAGTATTTTTCTACTTTGCTAACGAAATTTGTCAGGTGAGTCCCCTTTGTTGGACCTGGGGCAGAGTAACCCCATGGACTTCCCAAAAACCAATGCTCAGATATAATGATAAATTACCAGGAAAGCAGAGGAAAATGTATTTAGTTAAACTGATTGCCATCAGAAGAAGAAGTTTCTGTCCTCTGACAGAGCCCATGAACAATAATGGAAGGTTTACATGCAAAAATATCCACGTGCGGTTTTTTTTCTACGTGGTTTTTCATTAATGGTGTTTCTTGGAAGCTTGTTAATTTTCTAAATGACTTAATAGTTCATAAACCTGCCAGTGAATTAAAACATGAACTACCTGTCTATGTCTTCTGGGAGATCTTTCAGGTTGTTGCTGCTGATATCCAAGCACTGCAGATTAGACATCCGGAGCACACAAATTGGAATAGAATGGAACTTGTTTGCTGACACATCCACGACTGTGACTTGCTTCAGGTTACTTAGCTGGAAAGAAGCAGTGCTCTATGTTAGTTAAATTTTGCAAATACAGGAAGACATTTCATTCATCAACCGTTTTTGTTCCCCTCAAAGCACTAAGGAGATAATTTATTTATTTATTATTTTTTTACTCAAATTTTTGCCGGCCTTATCTCTTGCTCATCGTTTCCCAGGAGAAAGGGATTCAGAAATAGTTACTTCCCAAAGTGTTCATCGCCTTTCTGACATCACCGGGGGACTGAATGAAATTTTCACTCTTTAAAACCCCACAGTTTTCAGATGACAAGTTGAACCAGAAAATTATTTGGTTTTGAAGTGAAAAAACACAATTTATATAACTAATAGATGCCAAGTTACCGTTCTCAAAATCAGAGATTTGATAACTCCCATCAAAATTACATAGATTCCCATTGCTATAACTCTATTATGCACTGAGAGTCCATTGCTGGGACACCATTAGAAAATTAAGCTGTCAATTTAAGCCAACAGAAAATTTGGTCCAATATTTTTCAAAGATCTTTAAAAATACATCTTCCATACTGCAAACTAAATATGTAATAAGAGCTTTTTATTTGAATACTTTTCAAAGGAATTACATTTTTAAGTAATAAACCTTTAGTGCAATGAAGGTTAACTACAAATGTAAAATATACCTGTTTAAGAAATTAATGTGTTAAACTAAGTTCTCTCTGTACTGAATCAATTATTCACATTATCAGTGTTCATAAAACCATGCAGCTAGCTAAAGTGAATATCAAAGGAATATAAATGTTAATCAAAAAAAGTGGTTTAGAATGGAAATTACATTTCTGAGCTTCTAATCAGATGTCACCATGACCATCTAGCCCTATGGATCCTGATACAGAAGAAAAAGTAGCAAAAAAAAATTCCCTGTCCTTTGTTGAAGGTATCTCAGAATGTAGAAAACAAGCAGGAACAAAAACCCCAAAGCAAATACATTTTCCACTTCCAAAGCAAGCAGAATGCCTGTAACAGCATAAATTAAGGGAACAAAAATCAAAAAATAATAAAAAACATCCTGAATAATTGAAAATTATTTTCTTTATTAATATTTACTCATTGGGTTTTATATTTTCTGTTCAAACTCCTGCTTACTGTAATATTGGTAGACTTTCATCTGAATTTGACCATTACAATGTAGACTGCAAATTTTCCAGATACTGAACCTTTTTTCCAACAAATCAGAACCTCTTTTTGAACAGGGAAAGCACAGTGACTATTCTAGGTCGTAGCAGCAAAAGAACGTGGAAAATAATTGGCACCACCTTTATACCGTGTTTTCTTTATGGTTTCAAATTATCATCACAATTTCAAACCCCAAGCAAATATTTCAAGTTTCTCCGAACAATTTGAACTCAGAACAGTTTGCTAAAACTGCTGATACATTTATTTTAACAAGCTCTCCCCACAAAAAGTTTTGCAGGCACAGAATTAAAGCAATATCCCGGAGGCTTAAATGCCAAAATGGTCTCAAACCATCCCCATAGAAGAAAAACCACCTTCTCTAAACACAAAGCCACAGATATAAATATATAAATATAAAATATTTAAAATATTTATATAAAATATATAAATATAAAATGAACTGACATTATTGTTCACCCAAGTTCCTAAACACTTTGCTTTCACATGCTGAAACAACTTGGTAACATTAACACTAGATGGTAAAATTATATTTCTTCAACAGCAGTACCTAGTTTTACATGTTTTCCTAACAATGCTTTATTAAATTAAATATTATAAGCAATATAATATATAATATAATATATATTATATGATTATAATAAGCAATATTAACATAGCAGTATTTTTTTAAAGAAACACAGCTGTTTCCTCCATTTTTTTTATAATATGGAAAAAATATTATTTTAATACTTTAATATCGATTAGATTAAAACACACATTTTTCAGAAGTTCGTATTCCCATAAAAATGTGCCAACAAATATAAGGTCATGGACTCTACTGATCCAAATTTTGGTTCACCATGCCACAGAATATATGGAGCCATGGTTATATCATGTATGCTGAAAGCCCTCAGCACTTTTTCTTTTAAAGTAATATTAAATAAAACCTGTCCATCTTCTAGAGTATGTTGAAAGCTAATGGAGTTTTTAATTTAATCTGTTTCTGATGTGTTACCAACAAACAACTGCAACAGATAATTTATTGGAAATTATGACAGCTATGTGTTATATTTCCTAAAGAAAACCCTGTGTGTTCTCTTTCCTCTTGAAGAACTGATTGATCCCTGCACCTTTTGTAACATTTCATTTTCAAACAAGCATTACCCCCTTATCATATTTATGTTACCATTTATTTTGGCTTGGTGTTGATTTTTGCTATTTTCCTCTATTATGTGACTTTGAATTAATCAGTATATAGGCTTTATACAGGTCCTATTTAAAAAAAAACCACTATATTTAATAGCTTTATTATTTAATATATTTTAATATATTATATTTAATATATTTATATTTAATATATTTATGTTTATATATTTATACTTATATTTAATACCTGGACACACCTATGTTTAATCATTCTTGCCATTTTTATTTGACACACTGCCCCCTTTTACCTATCTTCATAGTTTTGTTTATAGAAATAATTCAGATAACTTGTAGAGCTCCACTGCTTTCCTTTCCCTCTGGCAGTTAAACCTTCAGTTGAAAGAAAAGGACATCATGTCCTGGGCTGAAAAACTATTTGATTAACGGGTGTGGTTTTATTTTTGTTCTGCTTTTTTGCTATGAAAGGAATTTACTGATGAGGTTGGATGAAAGTTTCTGATGAGTTGCCTACTACTTAGCACCAACAAATTAAAAGAAATAAAGTTGTGTCAAAATACCATATTTTTCAGTTACATTTAAACATTCTGTAACAGAAAGAGCATCCCACAAAGTGAATCATGAGAAGATATACAAAGGATTGACCCAGAAATGCCTATCCATGCATTATAAATGTGCTTTTGCCCTGAAATTTCAAACTCAGTGAAGTCAAAGACAGTTTGAACCACTTCAGTGGTATAGGTTATCACTTATATTGCCTTCCAAAACATATGTTGCCTCCCAAAACCCATAGATTGGGACTCAGCATCTCATTAATTTAATGAACACAGTGAGAAAGGAACACCTTAGGAGCAGAGTATACAGTTGCCCACTTAGTTCTCGTGCATTCAAACCAAATTCCCAGCTTTTCTTTCATCAAGCTGTCAGTTCATGACAGTTCATGGAGAAAAACACTAATCACAGAAATAGGGCACGAGCCTCTCTAGAGGCAGAACATACCTTTCAAAAGATATATTTGTGCATTTATAGCCCAGCCCACCATCTGGGGGCTTCCAAAGTGGACTCTCAAACTTGATGAGGCAAAGGCATTTAACAGCAAACCCCAAGCCTTGAAAACCAGGTACTAATCCATGTATTTTGTGACAAAACCCTTTGAAGTCCAAAAAAATATGTGACATCAAAAAGGACTTCATTTGGTGGTGCCTTGGTAAGATAAATCCAAGAAATGTTAAGTGGAAGAAAGTACTCAGCTGTGTCAGTCTGATTTTGCAGTTCTAGAATCCTAAACTTTTTGTAGAGTTAATCCACAAACAGGAGTTGTTATTCTTATGCCAAACTGTTTACTTGGAAGTTTAACATTGCCCCCTTTCACCACTTATCATTTCATCACTCAAATGCATTCTTTCATGTTAATGTTTAATGTCCAATAATTGTAGCTATGATGATCTAAGCATAAGTTCATAGAAAGGGACTTCCCTTATTATTAAAGCAGGTTTTTTGTATGCACAAACCTTTAATCAGGCCTACAAAGAACGAGAAAACTGACTTAATTCAATATTCACAAAATATATGCAATAAATGCAACATATGCAATATTCACAAAAATATCAGGTATTGATCATTTGCAGGTGATTGAAGGTGACCACACACAAGGTGATCACAGGTGATCACAGAGCAATGAGAGCAGGGCTGTCAGCACACAGTTAAAATCCCTAAGAATGTGGGTCATGTGTTTAAATCTAAGTATAGTAGCTGTTCCAAGCCAATAGATAAGTGCATGAAATTAAGCACCCAATTAATGATTTCCTGGGCTGAAACCAAAACGAGTCTGCTGTCTCAAAAAATAAATTTATGTTGATTAGTTATATTAAATTTTCATGGCATTACTGCTGCAGCTACACACAGTCTGCATACATTATTGCATTTTACCATCATAAAGTCATCTCAGTTTCAAATCTCCAAAACTTGTAAATTAAGGACACACATTAGAAGGGAAAACTAGGCTCCCCCAAAAGTCAGTTAAACATTTCTCAACAACTTAAATAGATCCACTTTGGGAATACACTCATCATGTATTTTAAATAAAACCATTAGAAGAGGAAGAACAGCAATGTTGGGCATTAACTGACCTCTCCAGAATGTTTGGAGACAAACTGTCCTCGAATCTATCAAAAGACCCTTTTAAGATATATTCTGTGTTCCTTCACCATGAGATGACCAAAATTGCTCATTTTCACAACAGGATATAGACAAAGCCCAAAACCACTTTTCATTTCTGCTCCAAAATGCATACAGTTGAAGAGGTGCTATTCAGATTGTCATCTTAATTATCACTTAAACATGTACAACAATTCTGGTTTGCCATGAAAATACACTGCAGCCTGTGAAGTTACCTTTCTGATTTAAAAAACTGAGTATGTTCATTTAAGCTTGTTCTGAAACCCAGAATAAATCACTGTTTTCCAAGATGTGGCATGGGAAAAACACCCAAAAGATAAGGATGTTTATTCTGTAGCAACTTGAAAAAGATATGACAGAGATGACAGCTAAAATAAAGAATTACAACATACTGACTCTCTTGTTTTTGTTTTACATTGATAAAATAGTAACCATTCACTTGAAAGGAAAAAATTATCAAGTGTGTTTGAAGAGGTAATATCAGCAGAAGAGGACCAGGTAACAATGTAAGATTGTCA